AAAATATCTTTACCTTACCTTTCTCCTGCTTGTTGTGCTGTCTCATCAGATCATGTTTTATTTACGGCTAGTGAAAGTTTGTTCCTACATTATAGGTAATCACAGAAGGTAATCTGAATTTAGAAACTTTAATCAACCCATATGTTGATAACCTCATCCTAGCCATTCAAGTGGTCTATACCAGAGGGTGCACATTTTTCAGCATTTTAACTAAAACCTGAATATATGCTGTTAAAATAAAGAAGTTAATTAATTGTGTACCCCTTCATTCAGTAATAAGGTGACATTAAAGAAAATGTATTTACTTTTTAATTCCTTGCATCATTCTCAAATTAAGAAAAGTAGATTTTCTGCTTTTCCCATATGAAGTTATAAATTTGGCTTTTATCAGTATATCATTACTTTGGTTACATTTGTGATGGTAACATGTAGCTGTGCAGGAGGATTGAAACTGGACAAATGCACATGAAATGAATCCCGCCTTAGCCATCTTATTTAGTCTTCTGCTGTGCTCTGCAAAACTATAAACATCTTCCTTTGTACATGAGTGGATGGTGAAAAAGCACTGAGCTGAATAGTGCTGTTAATGTCTAATTATTTCTTACCCTCTCTTCCAGCAGGCCATGGATCCTTTCTCTGCAATGGACAGAATGATGTCAAATATGAGGAACAGTATGATGGAATTACAAAGAAATTTTGTAAGTTAGTATTTTTGTGTTAGTGCAATCTAAGCACTGGGCCAATAATTTTGATTGAAGTAATGAGAGAAGGCAAAGTAAATGACTTAAAGAAGCTAAGTGTATTCACAGTTCAGTGTAGAAACATATTCACAATGCATCATGGTCATGTATGTTTTCCAGCTTGAATATGGTATGGAGTTGATTGCTTATTTTAAAAAAATATTGTAATTACATTGCTCATGTAAGGGATTTTTAAGAGAAGGAATGGGAAAACTGCAGCCCTCTGGATGTTGCTGGACTCCTATCATCATTGGCTATGCTTGCTAGGGCTAGTGGGAGTTGACAATCTTAATTATATTTGAAGCACCAAATGTTCTCCTCTACTGTACCGCTTCAAAAGAAAAATTGGTAGTGTTTTTGTAGACAGGTGGCGCTGTGGGCTAAACCACAGAAGCCTGTGCTGCAGGGTCGGAAGACCAGCAGTCGTAAGATCGAATCCACGCAACGGAATGAGCTCCCGTCCCTTGTCCCAGCTCCCGTGAACCTAGCGGTTCGAAAGCATGCAAATGCAAGTAGATCAATAGGAACCACCTCGGTGGGAAGGTAACAGCATTCCGTGTCTAAGTCGCACTGGCCATGTGACCATGGAAGATTGTCTTCGGACAAAACACTGGCTCTATGGCTTGGAAACGGAGATGAGCACCGGCCCCTAGAGTCGAACACGACTGGACAAAAATTGTCAAGGGGAACCTTTACCTTTACCTTGTAGACTTTTAGATGAAATCATTTCCACAAATGGAAAGAGTTAATTGCATAGTGTCTTCCTTATTCCTCCACTCACAGCCCAGTTGCACTGAATTGTGTCAAAAGAATTCACAGCAGTTCTTATCTTAGAAATGAAGAGAAACTCTCATGTTACTGTCTGAATGCTAGTGCATGTCTGTGTTTGGTCATTGTTTGCTACAGAATGGTGAATTCACTTTCACAGAGCTCACCTTTGTAGAGGTTGCTGAGTTATGTTTTTACTGACAGCTGATAAAGAGACAGCTAGCTGTCTTTTCTTCTGCTATTGCAGGCAGTAAATTCTATCTTGAACACTGTTTAGCAAGTGAGTGGCCATCTTTCATTGCGTAAGAGAAGCCACAGATGTATTAAATCCTGGTTTTTATTATATGCGGCACTCCCATTTTTTCATTGTTTCAATTAAATTCTTACGTTTCTCTTTAGGATAAAATGGCACTTGATCCAAATGCACATGCATTCAGTTCTTCTTCAGTGATGACCTACACCAAGAGGGGTGATGAACCACCAAAGGTTTTCCAGGCTTCTGCTCAGACACGTGTAGCTCCAGGAGGAGTAAGTTACCTTTGAGGGTTCATTCCCCACCCCTTGATATAAGTAAATTGAATACTGGAAGATACGATTAATATGCCCAGATTTCATAAATCCTTTGGTTGATACTTGGAAATAATTTATAGTGTGGAAAATCAGTATACGTCATGTCCCAGTTTACAATCTTGGTTTGCAGGTACAGTATTTGTACTTGGATATGGTTAGGAAGTAAAAGCAAAGTAACAGGAAATGCAGGAAGTAACAAAGGAAAGAGCACAAAAGAAACTGAGCATGCAAGCTCAGGGACTGTCCCATAGTGCTAGGTCAGTGATGGTGAACCTATGGCACACGTGCCACAACTGGCTCACAGAGCCCTCTCTGTGGGCACACGAGCCATAAGTCACCATAAAGAAATACTTAACTGTCCTCCAATACTGATTTTGACACTCCCCTCTGCTGGTGCCGTGGTTTAGCAGAGGGATGCAATGGCGAGCATTACCGGTCTAGCCCAATGGGGGATTGGAGAACCAATAAGTATTTCATTGTTAATACCGCCCATAGGGGGAAAAATAAGCATTCAACCCTTGCAGTGCAGGAGCAGTTGTTTTTTTTCTAAACTAAAACTTCAGCATTCTGGTTTTAATTGCAGTATTGGCACTTTGAAATAAGTTGATTTTGTGTTGCAGTTTGGGCACTCAAGCTTAAAAAGGTTCACCGTCACTGTACTAGGTCATCATTTCATTTTTTGTGTATCGGCCCAGTGCTTTTCAGGATATTCATTAAAGGAAAAATACATGTGGAGTACTTAAGCAGATAAATTGCTTAACTAGAATGCTACAAACAACTTGAATGATCTCTTCACACCAGCTGTTAAACATAAGAACTTGACTTTTAAGCACTTACATAACGATTGTTGCCCTTTCATTGGCTCCCTCACAGCAATTGCATCTAATTTTGCTAATAAATTTGAATTTGAACTTGGACACTGAAGTCTGGTACATTAAAAAGTTATGTACCAGCAGGATAAGACTGTTGGAAACAGCGCACAGGAAATTGTTTTAAAGCTAAGGCTAGTACTTAGTTATCAGAAAGTTTCTAATAATATACATATGAGAATGGTGATAAGCAATAGACACATTTTTCAAGTTGGCTAGCATGACATACTAATCGTTGGTGTTCTTTTCATGTAGCAAATACCAACACATGCTTATCTCTTTAGCCCCATTCAAAAGCTATATTTAGATAGGGCTTTGATGGTGTATAAAATCGTTCTAACAGTAATATTGAGACTATGAGCTGTGGGAAATTGATCTTATGTCTGGATTGTAGATAAGCATGTTGTGGTCAGTGTCCTAAGAAGTGACCATTTGTTCAAGGGAAAGAATTAGTATACAACTTCTTTGTGAAAAAGAAAATTACTTCTTGAATGGGAAAGCTACTTTTCTCACTAAAGTCAGAATTGGTGCAGCAGAAATGGCAGGTGCATGCACAAGTTTGTTTGGAAAAGAAAATCTAAACAAATAACCAGAAATAGTTGTTGTGGGTTTTTCGGGTTCTTTGGCTGTGTTCTGAAGGTTGTTCTTCCTGCAAAAGATCAACGAACTCTACCTAGCCACAAGGACTAGGGATCATTGCACAAAAAAGACCAGCTAACAACACCCATCAATCACAATGACAGATAATCTCTCCCCCCTTATCACAACAAAAACACGCTGATCAACCTATTTCGTGAAAAACAAAAGCTGTTGCCACAGCTATACTCATCTATCCAACAAACAGCAACAGAGCATGGACAGAGTTCCTACTCCAGTCCTCTGAAGATGCCGGCCGCAGAGACTGGCGAAACATCAGGAAGAACAACCTTCAGAGCATGGCCAAAGAACCCGAAAAACCCGCAACAACCATCAGATCCCAGCTGTGAAAGCCTTCGAGAATACAAATAACCAGAAAGAGGTTTTTTTTCCCTTAATGGTAGCCTTTTTCATATATCCTTCCACAGATCAAAGAAACAAGAAAAGCACTTAAAGATTCTGAAAGTGGACTGGAAAAAATGGCTGTTGGTCATCACATTCAGGATCGGGCTCATGTCATTGAAAAATCAAAGAACAACAGAACTGGTAATGAAGAACTGAATCAGGAATTTGTCAATTTGGATGAAGGTAAGAATGTTTGTGGCTGATACCCAAGTCTTTATTTTCTAATACTATGTGATGTCACAACAGACATTTGTGTCTTTCCACATGCAAATACAGCTAGATTGACACACACAAATCCTCATTTTTTCACTGGCAAACAAAGATCTTTCTCTCCATTCAAGCTTTTGGCCCATAATAAGGCTGCAGAGAGACTTTTAATGGGCAATTGTGACAGAATACTCACCAAGTTTACTCGGTAACAACAGAAATAAGCTGATTGGCTGCAAGAATGCAGGAGGCGAGCCTATCAAGAAGAGCCTGGAATACATGAAAAGGGAGAGGAGAAGAAGAAGGTGGAGAGAGAGATTAATTGTATCGTGAGAAGGGAAGTCATATTTAAGAGTGAGCTATAATTAGAAAGAAACACTTTGTATCAGAGAGACCAAGGATGAATGTTTGAAAGCTAACATGTAACACAAAGTAACCTGAACTCTTGTTTAATTTCACTAGTTGCTATGTTTTAATAAAGATCGTATTTTTATGTTTCAAACTTTAAACCAACCGCTTTGTCTCCTATGTTTTGGGCTTAAGGCAAGCCTATTGGAGTAAGGGCAGTTTAAATGATTCACCAGGTAGAGGTGGTCACAGCAATGTCACACTTTTCTTTTTTAAAACTCTGCTTCATGTTTGTTTATTTTTCCTCCTGCGGTTTTTCTCTCCAAAGTATTTTAAGTTTAAAGATCTTTTAACATTATGATACATTATAACAGTTTTTAATATTTTAATGTAAGTATCTTATCATTTCCTCCTGCCATTTTATAAGCCACCTTGAGTCTGTGTACTGGAAGAAAAGCAGGATGTAAATAAAATTAAAAATATAAATAGACTCATTACAGAAAATTCTGTATTATTTCTTATTGAAATACAGCAATTTGCGTCAAGTAAGGGCATTTACAGTGAAATTTCACTTCTTGTACAGCTGAAGCTCATGCATTTGATGAAGAATGGCAGAAGGAGGTTCTTAAATTCAAGCCCTCTGGACGAAGATATAACATAGAGGCCCCAAGACAAAGGAATATCTCTCAAGTTGGCAAGGAAGATGGAACAAGGAGGTACAGATAATTAGTATCCATAATATATTGTTTTCTACCATTTTTCTGAGGAGAAGTACCTGGTCAGCATCCCCAAATATGTGTAGTGTGCTTGAAGACAGTGATACGTAATTAAGTTGCTTTTTGGGAAATAAGTTGTAATTCTTCGTTGCATCATACATGCAAATAAGCAGGCAAGCCAAATGCTTATGTTACAATTGGATTTGAGGGTCTAGCTTTAGCTCTCATCTGTTGTTTATCCAATGTTAGTTTAAAATGCACATGAGAAGGGCCCACAGAAGAGAGGGCTTATGAGCAAACCAAATTGCCCTGCTTACCCCAACATCAATCAGATGGGCATAGATGGAGCTGGGAAAGAAAAGTATTGGGCAACACATGACCCCTTCCTCCATCTCTTCAAACAAACACAGTGAGGGAAAATGCACTGTAGATAGAAACTGGCGTACAGCCTCTTTATCTTTGTGCATACTACAACATCCTTGAGCTCCAACTGCTTTTAACATATTTGTGTATTAGTCACTGCAACACTTGTTTGTTCCTTAACAGATTAACAAGAGTTTTCCTTCTAAACAATATAGCCAACTAATATTGTGCAGGATGTTTTGCATAAAAAAACCTTAAAGCTTCAGATATTCCCTCTAAATACCTTTTCTAAATACTTTTTCCAGGGAGAAGACCTACCCAAAAACAGCCATAGAGGGACCTAGGAGACCTAAATCTTCTGTGGAAAAGCTCAGTGTCAAGGGATCACATGTTCCTCTCAAAGCCAGCAAAAAATAAATGGCTCTGGTGCTTTCAGATTAATCTGGCTGTTTGGGAGGGAGGGAGGAGACAGTAATTCTGGGTTAATAAACAAGACCAAGCTCTCTGTTCTTAGAAGTAGGGATTCTGTTCTTTGACTACTGAATGTTTATGATGGCTCAACTCTTCAGTAACACATGGTTCTGACCACTAAAGGAAGCAAACATTGATACTGAAAAGCACTTTATGAAAGTTTGTATTTTTAAAGTATAAGATAGTTAAAGCACACAATTTTCATTAACACCAACTGCTCTAGCAAGTATGAAGATAAAAGTGTAATTGCAACCATGTACAGCGTTTCAAAGAAGTACAGTAAATATAATACTGTTTGTAACTCAGGCGATACTGGTGTGGTTTTGATGAAGAGCCAATCAGATAAAGTAAAGCATTGCAAGGAATGTCTGCACCTTTCCTACTGCTTTCCATCTCTCTTGAAAATGCTTTCTGCTAGCTCGCTGCTAATTATTTTAGAGGTTTTCCACTGGTTTACTTACTCTCTTTTAATGAAAATGGAATAGAGAACCAGGGGTCTGAGATTGTTATAATTGAGAGGCATTTTGTCTTTTAAAGCTTGAAGATGTACAATCAACTGGGGAAGGTTGAAATATTTACTTACATAGTAAAGATGCAGATTTTCTTGCTTCAGGATGCATCACACTTATAAGAGATAAGATTTAATGAAGCATTTGTAAAGCAAGATTATATTTAGCCTATACTTCTGCCAACTGTAAGTGCATCAGATTAAGTGAATAGGTGGATTCTGCAAATTACTTCAAGGTTTCTGAGATCAAATGTCCTTTTATAGCAGATGTGGGTACAGTGTGGGGCTATAGATGGTGGCGGAGTGCAGTTGTTCCTAACACTGTTCACTGTAGCTATTCTGGCTAGTGGTGATGCAAGTTGCAGTCCTACATCTAGAAAGTTAGACTTCAGACATCACTGATGCATCGGAATAGACTTGGGAAATTATGAACATTTGATAGTTATGTTAGGATGTATAAATGAATATCTGGCATATAAAAAATAAAAAAACTGTACAGTTATTTTCTTCAGATACTAGAAGGTTTTAATTCATGTGCTCTTCTGTGCAGGGCAGAAATATATATGTTTGCATATTATTGTTAATGCTAAATAAACCTAGGTTAATATCTATTTGAGCTGACAGTGTTACAAAAACCAACATTCTCATACTTAATGGAGAGTTCATAAATATCACTTGTCATTTTTTGCTAATAAACAGCTATTTAACAGAGTGTTGCACCTGTCTCATCACATTCTCAACATTGCCACATGTGTTTTCATTTAAGCCTCCAAAAAATAGATGTCTAGTGTGGTGGGTATTTTAAGATACTGTAGTTAAGAAATCGGGTTTTAATGCGCTTCTATGGGCTTTTTAATTTTGCATTACGATGTTTTCGTTCTACAGCGATTTCGCTGGAACGAGTTAACACAATGCGAGACACCATTTTATTCCCAGCAATACTGTATTTTCCAATCAGTTCTGTGTTGTCATTATATGTGCACGGTGGGGTATCCTCAATTTACTTATTTTTGCCCTAGTGAAGAGTTCAGACTTGACTTGAGCACCGACTTATTTGGCCTTCTGGTGATCTGTGGTATCTGTAAGACTCACTCCCAACACCACATTTCAAATGAGGTGATTCCCTCCCCTATTTTTTCTTCAATGGCCATCTTTTACATCAGAGGTGTAAAACTCAAGTTTCTTCTTGGGCCGCATCGGCATTATGGTTGCCCTCAAAGGGCTGGTTGTATCTGTAAGACTATATAAATGTAGCTACTCATTATCATATTAAATATAATCTTCCTCATGCAATTAGCAAATTCTGACACTTTGCTGCTTGGAATGCTGGAAGTTCCGCTGGGCAGATTCCCAGCATCCTTGCGGAGCATTATGGGTAACCGAGTACGTGCCTGCATATTGTATACTGCACAGTAACAGGCAACACTATGAGGACCACATGAAAAGGCCCGGCTGACCAGATTCGCCCCACGAGTCTTGAGTTTGACACATGTGTTTTACATATTATGATTTTTCCCTTGGTTTCCCTTGGTCTTCAAGCTCCCCATTTTTAAAATTCCAAAATATGAGGGGACGTCTTGAAAAACGTGCAGGCAACATGTTTGTAGAGCAAGGATTTAGAAAAAAGCTTTATAGTCTGCTTTCTGCAGAGTGAGCATGGCAACATTCGTTTATCTGAGGTGTTAAGGGGTGTGTATGCTTCCCTGTTATATGTGTTGTACTCACTCACACTTGGACTTAATGAAATGGTGAAGCAAATATCTTGAACAGCCCTTCAAAATATTTTGGCACAGAAGGACTGCAGCCACATCTCAGCTGTTCTTGGTTCTACCTTCCCTCAGCAACCATAGTACAGACAGTGTGGGATCCTCCTAGCACTGATAATTCTACATGAGAGAAGTTTCTGTTCGAATTTGTGCGTAGTTTATGTATTGCTAAGCTTCCATTTTTGAAAGCCAGAAATTCCGTTCTTCAAAACAAAAACAAACTCCTGTATCCACAATTCCAAACACCATGAAATAGCCCAGTTTTGCTGCACAGTATTGTGCCCATGTTGCCAGCAGAAATAAAGAGGTGCCAAACTTTACACAGGAAAAAGCAATATGAATGTTGGCGGCACCCATGTCGGCAGTCAAGATGGCTTACAGGGTACTTTCTTGTGCTCACTATCATTCACAAAGATACACCAACTAAGGAAAAATCTAAAAACCTGACTTTTTTCCCATCAGTTAATCACTTCTTATCGAAACACAAAGCAATTCTTGGAGCTGTTTTTCAACAAGTTCTGTAGGTGTCTATTGCTTGGAACCATGAAGTAACCAAAATGCCTAGAAGAAATGGTAGTGAAATGGCTTGGGTTTGAATCGCCACCCAGCCATGGAAATTCACTGGGGTTATGAAACTGGTGAAACATTATTTATTATTATTTATTTTATTTATATCCCGCCTATCTGGTCGGATCAGGACCACTCTAGGCATCTCACTTTACTTGACAGCCCTGTTAGGGTCGCTATAAGTCCATTCTGATTGGAAGGCATTCAAGAACAATAGGAGTGGAATAGTACGTAGATTCAGATATGAACACTATTGTTTTGCTGGAACTATCATGTCATATATTCTTCATTGAATGATGAAATAAGTAAAATACTTCATAGGAACTCAGCACTAGTCTATTCCTGCTTTCCCCCTCACTTGGAATCATATTCATACTTTTCTTCTTATGTTCCTGCTTTATTATTTGTCATCTAACAACAGCCAAGAAATGATTTTGTAGACCCTTGTGGCCTGCTCTATTTAGAGATGGAGGGCAACTCTTAGTTCCCGTATTACTGTATTAGAACAAGATGTGCTTTATATCCAAACATGCTCAACAAACACACTCATCCATTTTCCCCTACATGGCACACAATAGATCATCTAGTTAAAGTTAAGTTCATTTTAGGTCCTACTGATTTTAGGGGAAAAGTTAAAAGCTTGTGATTGATTCCTTGGTTTAAATCGCTAGAGCATAGCAGGGGTTAAGACTGGATGGTGCCCAACTCCCTTCTCTAGCATTTTCAGAATTAATAGTTGAAAATTATGGCGCAGTCTTAAGCTGTTTGGCATAAGTTAGTCCTGCTGTGTTCAATGATGTTTACTCTCACTGTAGCCACTGTATACTGTAACTTAAATTGTGATAAGTGAATGAAAATATGAATTTTATTTTATTTTTTTAGTCAAGGAAGATATTAAGGATTTCTACCATTTCCCCAAAAATAAGACCTAACCTGAAAATAAGCCCTGGTAGGATTTTTCAGGATGCTCGTAATATAAGCCCTACTCCCAAAATAAGCTCTAGTTAAGTGAAACCCCGCCCTCCACCCTTGTGCAGCAACCAGAAGAAGATGACATGACAGTCTTTGAATAAATGTAGATAGTTGTACATGGAAAAAAAATTTAAACATCCCCTGAAAATAAGCCCTTATGTGTTTTTGGAGCAAAAATTATAAGACCCTGTCTTATTTTTGGGGAAACACAGTAAAATCGGAAGCAGTGCCACATGGAATACAATGAGATCTTTTTTTCTTGACACAGAAGGCAGCCATTTCCACAAAACTAAATAGCAAAATGCTTTTTGATTAGTCTTCATTTCATCTGTTGTTTATTTAGGTATTTTTGTTCTGACTCCCCAATAATTCAGTCTCTAAAGCAGTGGTTTCCAGTCTTGGATCCCCAGATGTTCTTGGGCGACAACTCCCAGCAGCCTGCTCCACTAGCTGTGCTGGCTAGGATTCCTGGGGGTTGCAGTCCAAGAACATCTGGAAACCCAAGGCTGGGAAGTGCTGCTCTAAAGGAATCCAAAAGAGGCTACACAAAAATTAAATATACCATATAGGCCAGCTGTTCTATGCATGCTTACCTGGAAGTATTTTGAGCTAAGAGGTTTAGGATTCTGCAGTTGAGAGGATAAAACAAACAGCATTTCAGATCAGAGGAAATCTTTCAGAAAGCCTTGGCCAGCCCACAACAAAGGGGAGAGATAGGAGCCTGCTTGTGGCTGTTATAAGGTAAGAACCAGAATGTTAAAATCTACTTCTTCTAAAGCTAGCTTGCCACAGCCAGCCACAGAATTCAGAAAAGTTACTTTTTGGGACAGTGAGCAACTCCTAGAAGCTTCCAGCAAAGCATGCCCTAGAACAGAGATGGTGAACCTCTGGTGCTCCAGAGGTTTTGGACTACAACTCCCCAAATCCCCAGACCGTATTGCCAATACGCCCAGAGTGGTCGACCAGACCAGATGGGCGGGATATAAATAAATAAATAAATANNTAAATAAATAAATAAATAAATAAGGGCTGTAGGAGTTGTAGTCCAAAACCTCTGGAGTGCTAGAAGTAACCTTCCCAACCTCTGGTGAGCTGTAACACTCAGTTCACATTTTTAAGGGCTAGTTAGGCCTGGCCACTGTAAAGAAATTCAAAGTCAAAGGAGCCGAGAGCCCTGTGGTGGCATAACAGTCAGGACTTGAATAAAGAACAGTAAATAATATTGGAGTAATTGTCGTGCTGGAGGAGGCTCTTGAGAGTCCCCTGGACTGCAAGGAGAACAAACCTATCCATTCTAAAGGAAATCAACCCTGAGTGCTAACTGGAAGGACAGATCCTGAAGCTGAGGCTCCAATACTTTGGCCATCTCATGAGAAGAAAAGACTTCCTGGAAAAGACCTTGATGTTGGGAAAGTGTGATGGCAAGAGGAGAAGGGGACGACAGAGGATGAGATGGCTGGACAGTGGCATGGAAACAACCAGTATGAATTTGACCCAACACCGGGAGGCAGTGGAAGATAGGAGGGGCTGGTGTGCTCTGGTCCATGGAGTCACGAAGAGTCGGACAGGACTAAACGGCTGAACAACAACAACAAATACAGCAAGACACTTCCTTTTCCTGCAGCTGGAGTCTCGCAGTGACCAGCAGCTATTAACTTCCTTAAAGCATTTCCTCCCTCCTCCCGAAAGGTGGCGCTGCAACATGTGTTGGCTGGTAGAGCGGTCGTTTCTATGATCAACTTGAGTTCCCCGGAAGTGTTTGTCGGCACGAGAAGGAAGTGCAGTTTGGAAACCCGTGCCGACATTGACTTTTCAGCAACCTTTACATCATGTTGCGGGGCAGGCGGTTGTTGAGTTCAGCGTTGCCGAGGCAACAGGTACTAAGGGCAGTGAAAGACCTCGGGGGAAGGGGTTTGCATCCGTAGTAGGAACGGAGTAACGTCGTTCCATCTATTTCGGTGGGATGGGAGAGGCCGGCACCATAACTGTTGGGGGGGGTCCCTAAAGCTCAACTCCTAATATGCGTATAAGAGGCCCGGAGTAAAAGCTTTTTACTGGCGATGGCGTTTTAGGCTCATTGTTTCGTAGAGTTGTCTGATAAGTAAGAAATCGGTGAAGTTTTTCCAGTGATGAAGAAATGTTTCACCCTTTAATGGTCTGCCTGTGCATTTCTGTTGCAGTGAAGTTACTTACATGAGGAAAGAGGGAGCACGTGTTCCAACCTCCACGTCGGCCAGTTATTAGAGTTTGTATGGGCAGTTATGTGGAGTGAATAAGTTGCTTTCATAACGTTTTATTTTTAATTATTTTTTTATTTAAAATATTTTTACCCTGCCTTTCTCCTTAAAAAAGACCCAAGGTGGTTTACATCATTAAAAGGCAATATTTGAAACGAAACACTGTAAGTATACAAATACTTAAAAGGATCAATCAGATACCACGCTAAAAAAATGGCAAACAAAACACCAAAACACTTTCAAGTAAAGTAGATCCGCTTTCGGAAGGACAGCAAAAATGAGTCAAGTCTGGCCTCCTGTGGGAAGGAATTCCAGAGTCTGAGAGCAGCAACAGAGAAGATCCTCTCCTGTGTCCCCACCAAACACACTTGTGGTGGGATTGAGAGAAAGGCCTCTCCCAAACTTAACACCTGTGCAGGCTCATAAGACATGGTCCTTGAGATAGTTGGGACCCAAGCCATTTATGGCTTTATAGGTTTGAACCAACACTTTGAATTGTGCCCAGAAATGGATCAGCAGTCAGTGGAGGTGTTGTAACGGGTTGTGTGATTTCTATATCCAGCTCTAGTCACCCATTGTGCTTTGGACCTGCTGAAATTTCTGGACACTATCCAGAGACAGCCCAATGTAGAGCACATTACAGTAATCCAGCCAGGAGGTAACTAAGGTATGTGTAACTGTGACCAGATCAGACCTCACCAGGAATGGGCACACCTGCCTCACTAGTTTTAATTGTGTAAGTGCATTCTTGACCACCACCTGAACATGGGCATACAGGCTCAGAGACACATCTAGGAGCACCCCTAAGCAGCACACCCTTGTTTTCAGAGGTAGTGTAGCTTTATTAAGCACAGACTGTATTTTGAAATTCAAAACAGATGTCTTCTAGTCCAGTACTAGTAGGGTTCTGGTCATTATATTATTACAGTAATGATAATTGTCTTTTTAATATTTCCTTTACCTGTGAACTTTCCATTTTCAGCCCCACCGATTTCAAGCATATGCACTAAAATTTACCAATGAGATCACACTTTTTGAGTTTTATGAAATAAATACAATCCATGAAGGATTATGTGTTTTAATCCTCAATGTGCAGTGTGTTTAGAGCTGTTGTAAGTGGGGTCAGAATTCCTGTTATGATGTCCAACCTCAGGTATGAGAGGAGTGAGACAAAATTTTCAGTTTGAACAGCAAAAACCATTATAAGAGAGTGCATGTCTTAGGAAATGTGATTTGGAGAAATAATTTTACTGATTGTCAAGTTGTCATACAAAGATCTGCTTGAAATCCAAAGTTCTAATATGTAATTCACGTATGTGGTATTTGCAATATATTATTTGGGGACCTGACAGTGAACAGTTCTTTTGTAAATATTTGTTCTCTTACCAGTCCACTGTTGCAACATACCCTTGTTGCAACTCACAGTCCTGAGTTTCTGATGAATGCTTGCCAACTTGATGGTTATTGTGGGTTTTTCGGGCTCTTTGGCCGTGTTCTGAACGTTGTTCTTCCTAACGTTTCGCCAGTCTCTGTGGCCTGCATCTTCAGAGGACAGGAGTCAGTTTGTTTGGATAGTTGAGTATTTATAGCTGTGGGATCAGCTTTTTTTCTTTTTCAGGAGATGGGGGATTGTGGTGATCAGTGTGTTTTTTGTTGTGGGTGTATTGTTGGGATAGGGGGAGATTATCTGTCACTGTGATTGATGGGTGTCGTTAGCTGGTCTTTTCTGTGCAATTATCACTGGTCCTTGTAGCTGGGTAGAGTTAGTAGGCCTTTTGCAGGCTGTATTTTTCAGTACTGGGAGACAGGCTTTGTTGAGTTTTAAACTTCTTTTTTGTTGAAGCTCTGCTGGTGTTCGTGGATTTCGGCCACAAACACCAGCAGATGCTGGCCACAGAGACTGGCCAAACGTTAGGAAAAACAACCTTCAGAACACAGCCAAAAAGCCTGAAAAACCCACAGCAACCATCAGATCCTGGGCGTGAAAGCTTTCGAGAACACGCTTGCCGACTTGCTGCCAAAATGGCCCAATGAGATGTTCAGATACTCAAAAATGAATGTACATCCGTTGTCTTTGTTCCTGTGTAACCTGTATAGGTCACAGACAAGGAGCAATTGCAAGAGGTACAAGCAATCTTCCTGGTGTGAACATTAGGCACTGTACAAACATGTCCACTAAATACTTCCGATAATCCCTAGTCATGACTGAAGGTGTATACAGTGGGTGCTTTTGGATCTGAGTTTTGATTTTTGAAGGTCAAAACATCTACAGGGCAAAATGTTCATCACCTCTGACATGGTACAAAGGAAGGATAGAATACTGAAGCATGTGGAGCCTTTTTCTTGTGGGAATTGAATAGAGGAACACGAAAGGCCTGAAAGAAAGAAATAAGGAAGTTGAATGCTTCCAAAAAGAGGGCCCTTTCTCACCTGATTTGCTTGCTAAATGCTCTTTTGCTGCTCTGCAGGTGTTCTTGATTTGGGAAGAAGAGCTGCTGCTTTGTTCTAATGACATTCCCTATTCCTAGTTGAGAAAAGGGAATGTTGTTAGAACATTGAGGAAGTTGAGAGTGTCTTTTTCTAAAGCTAATATTGGATTAGTATTTGAGTGCACAACCCTTCCATTTACTGTAGGTTGAATGCTGCATATAGGATCACTTCACTCTCAGTTGTGGAACATACTGTTGGTATGGCTCAAGTTTAATAAAGGTGTAGTAAGTTTAGAAAGAGGGCTTAGGTTAAAAAAAGACTGTGAAGTGCTGCTGTTTTTAAATGAGATGTCATTTGCAATGAGAGGCCTTTCACAGCCCTTTCCAGTATTGTTCCTTAAATGTTTGGTAAACAAATAGGTAAAGGTAAAGGTTGCCCTTGACATTTTCAGTCCAGTCGTGTCCGACTTTAGGGGGCGGTGCTCATCCCGTTTTTTAGGCCGTAGAGCCAGCGCTTGTCCAAAGACAATTTCCGTTGTCACGTGGCCAGCATTGACTAGGGAACGCTGTTTTACCTTCCCACCGAGGTGGTACCTATTTATCTACTTGCATTTGCATGCTTTCGAACTGCTAGGTTGGCAAGGAGCTGGGACAAAGCAACGGGAGCTCACTCCATTGCGTGGATTCGATCTTACGACTGCTGGTCTTCTGACCTGCAGCACAGGCTTCTGCGGTTTAGCTCACAGCGCCACCACGTCCCTTTTGAGACTAACTTAGTTGAACTTAATTCTACCCAAAAACTTTGTTCTAGCTGAAATTAATGGGATTTAAGCTGCGTCATGATTATCCCAAAGAATTGCACCTTTATTTTTGTAGTTATGTTTAATATTAGACCCAGAATGTAACACTAACATTTTCTTTATTGAATGTAGTTTTACAATGTATTATTGCATGTCACAAAATTGTTAAAGCCCACTCTTCTGTTTCAGCTGTTCTTCAATACCTGCAGATGGTGTTCATCAGGAATTCTTCCTAATGAAAGGATCCGCAACATAGGGATTTCCGCACACATTGATTCTGGAAAGACTACGTTAACGGAGCGCATTCTTTTTTACACTGGAAGAATCTCACAAATGCATGAGGTACTTCAACAGATGGTGCTGCATGAAATGATGATGGTGGTGGGCTTGTCTGAATACTGCTTAGTTCTACTTTTTCCATTTAGTGGGGAACATCTAGAGTTTTGCATAAAATTTTCTGTGAAATCTTGATATAGAGTGTGATATAAATATTTAAATAAATAAAAATATACATTCAGAAGCCTTAAAAGGAATGCTGCACAGAAGATTTTTTAATAACTCTCAAAAATGTAAGAAGAGGTAGAAAGCCTTTTGGCATGTATACAAAATAAGGATATAGTGCTATCTCTCAGTTTTGGGGCGTGATTCCATTGACTGTCTGAATGTGTTTTGTTTACAATCCCAAACACAGCATCAAACACTTTGAATTGGGACACAGATGTAAAGCCTTTGTCTGTGCAGGTGAAAAAATAAGTTGTTACATTCTTCAGATGGGATGTAGGGGCAATGTTCAGAGCACAGAACAATGGAAGTAACCATTGACCGTGTCAAACCATTGATGTGTTGAGCTTAGTATGGTCCCTGGTGATTAGCAAGAGCTCTGTGGGATTTCAGACAGAATTTTTGCCCAAGCTCATAGTCTAGCTTGGAAAATAAAAGTACTCTTATTTGCAGTTCAAGGGTTTGGCAAATGCAGTCTAGCTTGGAAAATAAAAGTACTCTTAAACAGCTGCAGCTTACTTATTTGCAGTTCAAGGGGTTGGCAAATGTATGTAAAGCCTTAAGTGGCCTGGGGCACCTTCTTTCTAGAGAAATTCTGTTTCCTGTGTAAGCTTGTCCTCATGTTATGGTCTGCTGAAGGCTGCTCTGCTCCATGTCTTCATCAGCAAGGAAGTCCATGTTGGTGGGGATGGAGACCAAGACCACTTCAACTGTGGTTTCATTTTTCAGGAGCCAGATGATATAAAGGACCGTAATAACACTCATTAAAGTATGTGGAAAACATTTGTGGTTTCAGTAGGCACTAGAGATGGGCACTTGCTATTGTTTGGTGTGGTTCAGCATTTCAGGCCTGCAGGTGTTGCGTGTACCATATTCTGTGCCCCACCTCCTCCTGCAGGCACTCTGCCAGAAGCAGCGCCGTGGGCCGCCCTTCCTCCTCCTCTGAGTGGGCACCTGCAGGAGGAGGTGGGGTGTGGAATCCAGGGCACGCGTGCAACACCTGTGAGCCTGAAGTACTGAGCCATGGTACGTGCCTGTTTTTAGTGGGCACCTTTCCAATCCATGAGATTCGATCACTATTCAGAGTGCAGTGGCTATCTGGAAAACATAATAGGGCAGTATCCTTACTAGGATGTTGCCCCAAATATCTCGGTGTCACTTTGCAACATGTAAATACAAAGTACAGGCAACTTCATACCTAGGTTTTTTTGGAGGTGCAAAATTATTCTAAGATACTGTATAACCATGTCTGATGGGTTAGGGAAATAATAATGACTGCTTTCTCATATTTCATTTCAACAGCTGTAGAACAGAGGTAAAAATGCTGTAGTGTACTCACTGTTCTGTGACATTTTAGTGTCTACCCATGCTAGTGAGTTGAAGTGCAATTCCCCACTGTGCCTTCGGGGAGAAGAGCCGGTCTGTATAGTGCTGGGAAAGGTGCACAGACCTAGAGCACTGCAGAAGAAGGAACCAGTAAACCACTTCAGAGTACTTTATGCCTAGGAAATGCAGACACATAATTACAATTAATGATAGTCCTTAGTTGTCTGGTATTACATTTTAGTTACTAATCTGCCAGGAGGCAAAATAAGACAGATCAGTGCCTTGAACAAAGGAATATCGGCATGTATGCAGAAATACACTGTTTTTCTCTAATCCTATGTGCTTTTTTTTATCATAGGTGAAAGGGAAAGATGGAGTTGGTGCAGTCATGGATTCAATGGAGTTGGAACGACAGCGTGGTATCACAATTAAATCTGCAGCAACATACACAATGTGGAAGGATACAAACATCAACATAATTGACACCCCAGGTACCTTACTCTTGTTGTGTATTTACATTTGACTTGAAGGTCTTAGGAATGGACCTCAACAGATGGGAAACCTTGACATCTGAGCATTCAACCTGGAGGCAGGCGGTACCTCATGGCCTCTCCCAATTCGAAGAGACCCTTGTCCAACAGGCCGAGGGAAAGTGGCAGTCCCGAAACCAGCAAAACCAGGGAGCTGGACGGGGACAGATTGTATTTGTTGTCAGTGTGGAAGGGATTGTCACTCTCGAATTGGCCTTCTTGGCCACACTAGAGGCTGTTCCAAGACCTCTATTCAGAGCATGTTACCATAGTCTCTTGAGACTGAAGGATGCCTAATCTAATCTAATGTCATCTGTTCTTAATGCAGGACTGATGCTTTTTCTACATTGTTAGATGAGGTTTTTCAGAGTTGGTGGATGGAATAAAACTTGGACCAGACCAGGCTTAAGCCTGTGTTCATCAGTTCCATATTGTACAGCCAAGTTGTGGCAGCTACAAAAGTTGATATGAAGAGAATGCATATGGCCTTTTTACTAGCCATAGTCTTAATACTGTCCTAGTGTTTTTTGTATTATTCAGCAGTTCTTTCCTAAGCAGTTTTTTGTTGGGAAGGAAAGGGATAGTTCATGCTTTAGGTCAGATTTACAAATGATCTCTGAAAAGCTGTTGTGTATGTCTGCATGTATGACTGCACTTGGACTCATTTGTGTACAGATTAAAGTTTTCTTATAGTCCATGATGGGCATAAAATACAGTACTGTCCTTTCCTATTGGTGCTATTGCTAATGGTATCCATTATACCACAAGTTTAATATCCAATTCAGTTTTATGTCATTTGTTCCCAACAGTGCACAGGAATATATATATATTTTTGAACATGTATACATTCAAAGTACTTTATTTGATGTTCTCTCTGTGTATTTGGTGCATGGAAGTGTCTGAATTGCAAATAATGGATTCTGTGCAGCTGTTGTATCCATGCATCTACACTCACAGGTGAGCTTGGCGGAAAAAGATCTGCTGAGGGCTGCCAATGAGTTTAATGCCAAGCAAAGATTTGGACTTGGGTTGAGCATTCAGACTCAGTTGTTTTGATTACAGCACTGCAGTGCATCTCGGAAATTTAGCTACCAGCCCAGTTGTTTCATGGTAGGGTTGGAAAATAAATGTTCACACATAATGATAGATACAGTATGGTGTTATGATCAGATTTGTAAACTAGGATTGCAGTGATCCAAGCCTCCACTTGGCTGTAAAACACATTGGGCCAGTTTGCAATAACCTTGAGCCAGTTATTCTCATTCTTTCTCAGCCTAGCTTACCTCACAGGGTTGTTAAGAAGACACAAGGGCAGGGAGACCCATGTATTTTCCTTGGAAAAAAGATGTGACATCAGTGTAATAAATTAATGTATCTAAGTTTTGTTTGCCTCATGTGTTTCTCCCACCCATCTACAGAATAGTTATGTTTTATTACTACAACATAAAGAAATGTATAGATAAAATATTTGTACCATGGATGCACTCTAAATTTTTTTGGTCCCTTACTTTGGTACAATGCCAGATCATTTATTCATTTTGAGCTAACTGGGTGTCTAAAATTTCAACCTGTTTCTGAAATCTAGTTGGTGAAATTCTGGTGGTGGCAATTTTCAGAGATTGAGACTGCTGATAGCAATTTTCAAAATGTAAGGCTCTCATCACCCAGCCACCCACAACCATCTTGAGGCTTCTCAGTGCTTCCCCAGGTCAAAAGGGATCCTAGGCAGCCTCTGAACCTGAATGGCGAGGGATAGTTAAATAAACTGAAATAACATTGCAGGCTACATTGCAGAGTAACATTGCAGGCTACATTGATGTCCTTGCATTTATGCCAGCATGTTTACTTAACAAGAGTCCAGCTTATGTCTTTTAAAAACAATATCCTTTAACCTCCATGTGTTTTAACTCCACAAAACATTGCTTTGGGCCTCAATTTGTTCCTTGCTATTTCTGAAGATGGTATGAGGAAACAGGGAAAAAAAGGTCAAATTGAATAGCAGCAAAAGTTCTAATTAAGTAGAAGCTTTTAAACACATATGGAAATGTTGTCTTCATTTTCAGGACACGTTGATTTCACTATAGAAGTGGAAAGGTCACTGCGAGTTCTTGATGGAGCCATCCTGGTGCTGTGTGCCGTTGGAGGGGTTCAGTGCCAGACAATGACTGTGAATAGGCAGATGAAGCGGTACAATGTCCCATTTTTGACTTTTATCAACAAGCTGGATCGAATGGGTTCAAGTCCAGATAAAACTCTGCGACAGCTCAGGTATGGCCTTCTAACTTAGAAGATTTCAGAGTTAAAGAAAAAAAAATGGGCTGGACATTTTAGAAATACATAGAGAAAATACATGTACCTTTAGTATACTCTTGTGGGCTAGGGTGCTGTGTCCATTAACAAAAGAGGTGGGTAATTAATTCATCTGTAAATGTTACATGTGACGTGTTGAAGAGCCCTTAGTAATTGAGCATTCTGACTCTTTATAATTATATGTGGATTAGGTAGTTATGTCTCGTCAAGTCAGAACTGACTTACAGTCACCCTAATAGGACTTTCACAGTAAGTAAAATAGAATGGTTTGACCAGTTCCACTCCCCCAGTGAGTTTCCACGGTCATGTGGGAATTCAAACTCTGGTCTCCAGAATCCTAGTCTGTCCCTTGTCCACTATAGGTAGCTATAGGTACCAAACTTTACTGCAATAGGTTTTGATCCATAGATTTTTAACATTGTTTCATGTGGCATTTATTTTCAGGACAGCTTTGCTAGCATAGTGGGCAATAATGTGTCTCCCTGTAGAATCTTGATGCTAGGAAGGTGAAGCATTTCTCTGCTCCGCTTTCTCACCCTCTGAAAGGTCTCCTCTTCAGTTCTCTGAGGCCAAGTAGGCTTGTGTGAAACAAAGTGGCCCCACAGGTTTGGAAATGCTGCAAATAATTGAATTGTCTTTAATATGAGAATTGTATTTTTTTAATTTCACAGATCAAAGCTTAATCAAAATGCTGCTTTTGTCCAAATCCCTATGGGTCTGGAAGGAAATTTCAGAGGCGTCATTGATCTAATTGAAGAAAAAGCTATATACTTTGAGGGCAACTTTGGGTAAGGACTCTGAATGGTTTCAGAAAAGAAGAAATTGAATCCCTAGTTTATGCTGTGAGAGCAAGAGACCCCCTCAGAGGTATCTCTGAGCAAGGATTGGTCGGAGTTAGTGTTACTATATCGATCTTTTAAGTATTCCATACTCTTTTGCCAGCCCTGCTAATCTTAACTATTAGTTAAGTTTTTATTGGCATCACCTAAATGTAGCTAAAACTACCAACTCCATTGGTCTAAATGGGCGGGGTATAAATCTAATAAAATGAATGAATGAATAAATAAATAAAATGTCCCTATCCAAACAAGGCCTGAAGCTGATTAGCAATCACTGAACTTTTGAGGAACTGTATTCACGAAGTAGTTTTGAGGAACTACTTTTCAAGCTAATCATGATTGACTACTGCACCAGTATAGTGAACATATCCATACATTACACAAAACTAACATACAGTATTTTATGGTGATTTAGTGTGACATTAATGAACAAGAATAAGCTGCAGCAAACCTTGTGGTTTCTTGCTTTCTACTGAATTTTCCATAGGTCACTGGGAAGAAGATTCTAGAAGCTGTTGCGTAGCTGCAGTTTATCATGATGTCTGGCCTGACAAGCTGGGATTAGCTTTAATTATGTTTATTTTTAAACATAGCAACTTCATTCTATGATGAGTGAAGCTGGCTTATTTACACAAACCTGTATTAATGTGAAGTATAATTCCATTTCCCAACAACATGGCAAATTATGGTTAAGCACAAACAAACTCTGGCCAATGAGGAGGAGGAAGGGATTGCTATGAATCGTTTTCATTGAGGAACTCTACCACGTTTCCCCGAAAATAAGACAGGGTCTTATGTTAATTTTTGCTCCAAAAATGCATTAGGGCCCATTTTCCAGGGATGTTTTATTTTTTTCATGTACACCAATCTACATTTATTCAAATACAGTCATGCCATCTTCTAGTTGCTGCACAATGGTGGAGGGCGGAGTTTCACTTAACTGGGGCTTATTTTTGGGGAAAGGCTTATTTTTGGGGAAACAGGGTACTGCATAACACCATGTGTGAACCAGAATTTGGAGTGGACTACCTACTGTATAAAGAAGTGCTTAAACCATTTTATACCAATCTACATTTATTCAAATACAGTCATGCCATCTTCTAGTTGCTGCACAATGGTGGAGGGCGGAGTTTCACTTAACTGGGGCTTATTTTTGGGGAAAGGCTTATTTTTGGGGAAACAGGGTACTGCATAACACCATGTGTGAACCAGAATTTGGAGTGGACTACCTACTGTATAAAGAAGTGCTTAAACCATTTTATATTAATTGAAATTTCAGTATATTGTATTATATGACTGTAACTTTTAATATAACTTGACTTTGGGGTAAGGCTTATTTTCGGGGAAACAGTACTATATAACACCATGCGTGAACCAGAATTTGGAGCGGATTACCTATAAAGAAGTGCTTAAACCATTTTACATTAATTGAAATTTCAGTATATTGTATTATATGACTGTAACTTTTAATAAGGAATAACTTGACTCATTTTGCAGTATAACCATAACTTTATAGTAAGACAAAACCCTGTAACTGTAACAGTAATTACTTACAGGGATGGTGGTGGCTGGTTCGTGTGCTGGCTTATACAGCACTTGAATCTATGCTTTGTCTGAGGTTTATTTGTGGATTTCACATCTGGTCTGTTGGAAGAAAAACAGCCAGAATGACATTTCCATCTGGGTTCATAGGACAGGATAACTAAGGAGTTAAGCTGTAAGTGGATTTCACATCTGGTCTGTTGGAAGAAAAACAGCCAGAATGACATCTCCATCTGGGTTCATAGGACACGATAAACTAAGGAGTTAAGCTGTAAGTGAGAGTGATTTGGTAGGGGGCACCACTACTTGTAATACATAAGCTGAGGTTTCTGTGGTTGCATGTGGCTTATTGTGTTAAGAACATCTGGAGGCCCAAGGTTGGCGACAACTTGCACAATGGTGGAGGGCGGAGTTTGGGGCACCACTACTTGTAATACATAAGCTGAGGTTTCTGTGGTTGCATGTGGCTTATTGTGTTACATGAAGTAGACCACTGTTTGGAGGAATTTAAAAAATGAGTAATGAATCTTTAACATATTTAGACCTTCCCACAAGGCATTATGTTCAACAGGTAGTTGCAGTTTTACTCTTTCCAGTGTACGTAGAAAGAAGAGAGGAAGACTCCTTGAAATTTATTTCTGATTAGAACAATATTCAATACCAAAAAACAAAACCCAACCAAGAAGCTCATGTTATACAGTACTTTGTTTACTCAATAGAAAGTTACATTCATACGTATTCACCATGACAGAGCAGTAAATGAATAATTTCCTCTGCTAGGAAACATTCAGCTGCCACTTGTCCTGAATTACGGTTGAAGCCCCGAAACAGCCTTCCATTTCATGTAGTCATATGATATTAAAACTGAGAAATAACCCAGCAGTTATAAAGACACCATTTAGCTTTGACTACATCCCATGGAATTATGAGCAAGTAGAAGAGATCCAGTTTTAAATCAAAAATGCATCCTAGTCAGCACAGGGTTTTTTTTTCCACTTTGTTTAGGGGTCCAGCTAGAACTGACAATCTGTCAGGTGTGAGGACTGTCTGAATTTCTGCTGTAGGCCCTGCTGAACATTGCAGGGATGTGCCATATTTGTAGAATATCTGCTTGTAAAGCTGAACGTTGATGGGCTGTTTATTTTCCCTGTTCCTGTAGTGAGCAAGTTAGATACGATGAAATTCCTCCTGAATTCAGAGCACAGTCTGTTGACAGGCGTCAGGAGCTGATTGAATGTGTTGCAAATACAGACGAACACCTTGGGGAGCTATTTCTTGAGGAGAAGGTGCCAACGGTGGCTGACTTGAAGGTAATAAGACTTAACAATTACTTTGTTTTCTAAAATGTTACTGGGAACATTTGCTGTATTAGAATATGATTTTCACAGTGCTTAATTGTATGTAGTTGTGCTTTGTCTGTGGAAAAGCAAGAAGATCAGGGCAGTTTGATATGAATTATTCAAGAGCAGAGGTGGGCAGAGTGCAACCCTGAGATTGCACGAGGTCTTCCAAGGTGTTTTTGTGGCCCTCCAGTCAGTCTTCTCAAAAAGTAAATTCCACTGCCTCCTGGAGTTTGGTCAAATTCATCTTGGTAGCTTCAGTGACACTGTCCAACCATCTCGTCCTCTGTCGTCCCCTTCTCCTCTTGCCCTCACGCTTTCCAACATCAGGGTCTTTTCCAGAGGGTCTTCTCTTCTCATGAGATGGTCAAAGTATTGGAGCCTCAGCTTCAGGATCTGTCCTTCCAGTGAACACTCAGGGCTGATTTCCTTTAGAATGGATAGGTTTGTTCTCTTTGCAGTCCATGGGACTCAAGAGACTCCTCCAGCACCACAATTCAAAAGCATCAATTCATCGGCAGCCGGCCTTCTTTATGGTCCAGCTCTCACGTCTGTACATCACTGCTGGAAAAAACTATAGCTTTGACTATGCGGACCTTCGTCGGCAAGGTGATGTCTCTGCTTTTTAAGATGCTGTCTAGGTTTGTCATCGCTCCATGAACTCCGATAGACTATAGCAAGTTCCCCTCCCCGACCCTCTGAGTGACATTGGTGCTGGACCTGATACCATCTGGTTGGGGTAGAAGATGGGATAGATGTAAGATTATCTAACCTCTCTTCTCCTACATGGGCATGTTCTACCCCCACCGCCATTCCTTCCCCTACCCAGCATCACCTCAATGGCTACTCCCTCCAAAGCCTCACCACCTCAATGGCTGCTCCCTCCAACGCGTTCCCCCCCTTCCTGTTTCCTCAAATCCACTGTCGATCTCTATGTACGCAACCTGATGGCAGTTAATAACCCACTCAATAAAAACACCTTCTAAGCCCCTTCTCCCCCTCCCGAGCCAGGTGGCTGATGTTGAGGAGGGGGTGGGGCAGCCAGAAGCAGCGAGGGCCCCGTCCCGCAAGGCCGAGGGAGTCCAAGCCAGAGTCCCCCAGGAAGGCCGGCAACTGGCAGCAGCACAGCCACACTGTCTCTCACTCAGTGCCTGAGGGACGGCAACTACTTTGTGTATCAGCCACATGCCACTGCCACCACTCCAAATATACCACAAGCCCCAAAATACAAGCATGCATGTTTTCCAAGAGCATTCTTTCCCCAATAGGCTACCTGGGGAGCACGCTTTTGCTAGGAAGCAACATGGGTGTTCCCCAGCTATTGCATTTCCCAGTGGAAAGGATCTTCCTCGAGGGGGCATTATATTATATATTACTCTCTTGGGTTTTGGTTGTGCTCCTTTTCCATTCTTATAATGGTGTGTCAGCAACTAAACAGGCCTCCCTCTTTCTTGCCTTGTTTCTTTGGTTGTCCCTGAAAGTTCTCTTCTTGCTGACTTGGCTCTTTTGCATTATTCTCATCTCCACAGTGGTAGTCCGGTGGACTTTGTCTTCATGCCAGCTCATTCGACTCATCCTGTCACTTAGTTTTCCATTCTGTTTTTTAACTGAATAACATTTTTAGTTCTGTTTAATTTTTTTTATTCAAATCTAGAGTGATTTACTGGAATCAGGGCTTGCAGTGTCAAAGCTCTCTCTCTCTCTCTCTCTGTCTCTCAATCTCTCTCTCAGTCTCTCTCTCTCTCTCTCTCTCTCACTCTCTCTCTCTCTCTCTCTCTCTCTCACACACACACACACACACAGAGAGAGAGAGAGAGAGAGAGAGAGAGAGAGGTTTCTCTATTCCCTCTGAGTTTAGTTTCAGTCCTTTGAGGGGAATGGATTTTTCCTGGAGCACTGTATGGTTTAATGCAAAATGTTTCATGGTGATTTGGTCTTAAATGGGTAATTAACAAGCTATTAGTATTTTAAAATACCTGTTCCTCATGTGTTGATATGAGCAATGGGGGAAACATTTGCCTAAGATAGAAGTTAGGAGGCTCGAAAGCCAGAACAGACCATGCTGGAGTTTGTGGAATGATGATCTGGTTTTATGTGAAGCAGTATCACACAGTCGCATGCTTTGGAGCAAGGTTCCTGCTAAAGCGCACATGCGTGTAACGCCACTTCGCTCCGCACAGCTTTCCTTCTCCTCTGCACAACTGCTTTGGTTCCAGTCGGACAGAACCCCATGCACACGGAGGGGCGGAGTCGAGATAGGGAGACACAAACACACACACAGAGGCAGAGCTCCACCCAGTGGGGCTGAAAATTAGACAGTGCATTTCTTTGGAGCTAGACTTCCCCCATGTTGTACACATGTACTAAGAATACATGAAAATTCTAAGCTCTGTAACTCCCTTTCTGTTATTTTCTACTGTTACATAAAATCTATGCAGGCGGGGGTATAGCAACTGACCTTGTGTGCTGCTGAAGGGCCTGTTAACAGAGTGGGTGCTGTATTTTCTTTTATTAGAGTTTTAAAATATATATATCATTAATTGTTTCAGTTTATTTACATTGGTCTAAATCCACTGTTAATCCAAACTGGAATAGACATTGCAGTTAGGGAGACTTAAGTAAAAGTCTATTAATAAGCTGAATTTATTTTAGTGGGCGTGTTTTTGCTTTGGCAAAAATTTATGTTATTCTGTTTCATTGTAAACCACTGTGAGTCCTATTTTGTGGAGAAAAGGCAAGATAGAAATTAAGTCATTAAGCAGTCCTAGTAAGCTAGTATTTTTATGAGCAATTGCTTAATGTGTATAGGAGTTATTTTTAAAACTTTATAGTAATCCTTTGAAAGTTTTCAAAGTCAAAGTGGATGGTACCTTGTTAGATAACCGAACAATGCCTGTAGAAGCCTTCATCAGGCTTGGCATCACAGAGGTGTGGATCTGCTACGTGGAAAAAAAACCGTAATAGTGGCCAGATCTGCGTACAGTTCTTTCTTTGAAAGTTTACATGTGGTTATTGGAAACATGTTGATAAGAGAGGCTCCTAAAGGTATGTGTGAGTGCAGC